GCACAGAATGTTATAGAACTTTACAGATTTAAAATAGTCTGAAATCAGCTATACTTGACAGATATATTAGAATTGCCCATGGCTGCATCTCTTTTGCATGCACAGAAGTACATAAATGACCCAAAACAACTATGTTACATTTTAAATAAAACTGAGAAACACAAAAATAAAAATATTTTCAGTATGCATTATTTAAGATAACAAAACTTTTTACCTACCTGCTAAACTGTTGATGTGTAAGAACCAATCCCTCAAGTCTGATAGGGAATTTTACATCACAACTGCCCACCATATTTTGAATTTTAAAATCCAAGAATTTTGCGGGAAAGCCCAACTTCTGTACAACTCTAGCATACTTTCTTGCAGCCAGCCTGGATTGCTCCTCACTGAAAAAGTATAGGATGCATTGTATTTCATCAAGGAAATACTAAATGATATACATACAGTAGTGTAACGTACATACCTATTAGTTGGCCTTTATTACTCTTGTCAAATGACTATGTCTGTAAGGCCAAATGCTAATAAGCTAAATGGGTACAGATAATTGTTTGCGCTTGCATACCTTTTAGCTCCTGTACACACCATTTTTCCAGAGCTGAATATGAGGGCTGTTGTACGTGGCTCTCTTATTCTCATAATTACAGCAGCAAAACGCTGAAACACAAAGAACAAATGCTATTATGACAAAAAACCTAATGTACAGCTAATAATATTGAAGTTGCATTAATCATCTCCATTCTTCAATTACTTTAAAAAAAATCTGGAAAAAACTATATTTACAAATAAAATCTAATGTAATATAATAGTTATTTTCATCTGTTCATGGAAAACACATTTCTCAAACTTCTTTGGTAGTCAAAACGTTGGAGTAAGTTTGGTTTGAGGGTCATGTCTAAATTAAATACAAGTAGAACAGAAAGTGCTTTTTCCTCAAATTGATTCTAGAAGAGATTGCTTTATGAATGCTTAAGTAGTAAACATCAAGAATGGAATTGCTTCTTGTTTTCATGCAATGCTTCACTACTTTGTAGAACTTTAAAGTTTTTTTTTAAATTGCAAAGCTTTGCCCTTGTTCCTATCCCTTCTTTTACAGAGAGGTTAACAAGATCTTCATCCTACCATTGCTATCAAGGAAATGAAAGTCACAATATGAGTTGCTTGGTTTTGACTTAGCATGAGGTATGAACCCAGCCAGCTTTATAAACCATTCTTTATGGCTGAGTAAATATGGGACCTAGTACTTCTGCCAAGTTTCACCTTTTGTTTTATTTTATCAAAGCTACCATGTATCCCAGTAAATGCTTACATGCTTGCACAGCAAGCCTTGAACTGACTGGAGTTTTGTAGCAGTGTACAAAACCTTTCAATTTGAACCACAAGCACGAACCCTTGTGAAATTCCAATATAAATGGGAAGCTTTGAGCACTTTGGGGCTCAAAAACAGTCTTTTGCAAACAAAATAGAACTGTTCCAAGTCCAAAATACTTCCAAAATGTTGAAATAACTTATTTCACATTTCAGAATAAGGTTTGCAAAGTTTTTAGCATAAAATGATTTGACACAACATGAGTGCATAGCGGAATTGGTCTTTAAGGCTACTATTGCAGCTCCAAAGATCTCCAAAGACCTTTTTCTTGGCTATATTTGCAAAGCATATTCAGAAATCTCCTTTGTGATAATTGAAGCCACATGGCCTAATCGAAGCATAAGTAGCAAATAATCATCACTGACTAATGGAAGAGTAATTGTTACCTCTCCATTATCCCTTACCTTGGGATTGTATTCAGCATTTCGAGCACGAAGAGCAATGGTTTTTAGGTCAAGTTTGCAACCAAGGTTTACTGTAGACACAATATTCCTAGAGACAATTTAGATATATATTAGGTAAGCTTAAAAGCTTCAAATAAAGCCGTCTTACAAATATTGATTACAACAGTAACTATGAGTGCACTAGTTACAAACTACAATACTGGTAGAAAACTAAACTAAAGAAACCCAGAGACACCGAGGAAATTTTAAACAACTGAAAGAAAGTATTTTTAAATCCAATTTAATGCATTTGGCACTCTGAATAAATGCCTGTAAGGCATCCATTTTCACAGACTTTTTTCTCCAAGCATTCAACACAGCAACACATGCTGCTGAAATACAGCCATTTGGCAGCACGAACTCAGAGTGCAGGTTGACCACCTTGGTCTTTTAAAAAAAAAAAAAAATTCAATACAACATTCACTCTTAAAAAGTACCATCACTAAAGGATAGCATTTGGGAGCAGAGTAGAATCTGCACTTACTGCAGCTGCGGTACAATCCCAGAGCTTTCAGAAGCAGGGGTGGCAGGTGTTATTGGGGTCATGGGCGTCATTGGAGAGGTGTAGAGAGGTGTGGTTCCGGGTAAAGGAGCAGTTGTAAGAGTCTGTGAGTGGAAGAGCTGTGGGGTTTGGCCAGATGCTCCTTGTGTTGGCTGTGAAGTGGACTGCTGTGCTGCTGCTTGTTGCTGCTGTTGCCTCTGTTGTTCTTCCAGGATAGATAAACTGTTGGTACTCTGAGCAGGTTGGGGTGTGAGCCCAGTGCCATAGGGCATCATGGGACTAAAAATAGGGATACCTGGAGTCATTGCACTCTACAAAACGAATATAATTTTTAAAAGTTAGTCTACAACATACAGGAACTATCATACACAAGATCAGGAATGCGTGGAGTTGTTTAAAGAACTGCTGTTACATTCTGGATATCAAAACTGCAATTCAATGCACATTTATCCTGAAAGTAAGTCCAATTGCACAGAAATCTGCTTCCGAATAACCATGCAGAAGATTTTGTCCAAAGCAAAATATAGCCAAGATGAATATTCACCAAGCTGCTTTTGCCACCATATTTTACTTTTGGATCCTGTTGTATGAATAATTCACATTTATAAGTATCAGAATCGAATTTTCAATGTTAAAACATACAATCAAAATTTGATTTTACCAAATATGCCTTAACTAATCCTGCAATGTCTTAAATCAATATTTCCAAAGTTGAAGCTAGCAAGAACACCTACCCTGTTAAATGAAAATAAGACATTCACATTACACTGTTCATTTGGAATTTATGCACAAGATTTTTAGTTCAATAATTCATTGTGCTACTGAAAACATTTAAGTGGCACAATTTAGAGGTGTTCTAGGAACCACAAAAATTGAACTGTGAAAGGGACTTTCAGAGAAGAAATGATGGGCTTAAGATGGCTCCACAAAAAGCGGAGTTGATGCCTATGGTGGAATGAAGATCCAGCGAGTACACCAGCTCTTCAATAATTCCTCTCCAGACAAGGAGAGGACTTGAGATCACCCACAAGTACTTCAGACAGCTGCTCCTTGCGAGGGTACTGCAAGACAGCGGCCTCTGGCAGATTTAGAGCTCTGGGAGATGAGGAAATAGCCATCTTACTCAAGCCACGGTCAGTGCCTTTGAAAGGACACTAAGTTTGCATACTTCCTTTCTAATCACTTGTGGAAATTGCTTGTTAACAGTTTTTCAGCTATTAAGAATCTTTGGATTCACATGTTTTACAGCACCAGGTTAGTTTCCTTCAATCCTTAGCGAAAGAAGTTTTAACTACAAGTTTTTTTTTTTGAATAAACAGCAAAAGGGTCATTAAAACTTTGATTTTAGAAAGTTACAGATGGACGAAAGGTCCAGATAAATTTGAAACAAGATTTTGGAATCAATTATAAAGAATCCTTCCTATGGGAAAATGCTTTTGTTTTGAATTTTTTTAGAAAAAACTTAAGACTTCAAAAATTGGACACTAGAGGGAACTAAAGATTACAATTAAAGAAGAATAAATGATTTATAATTACAGAATGAAGCAAAATATTTTAACGTTAGGCATATTGAAGGATATTTTTGAACAAAGGACCCAGAAGTTAATTTTAATAGTGTCTGCCTCTATAGACATAACATCTTTTAAACACAGTCTATCTATTTATTTATTTTTATTTATATTTCAAATTTAGATACCGCCCAACTCACAAAAATTGACTCTGGGCGGTATCTAAATTTGAAATATAAATAAAAATAAATAAATAGATAGA